TCCACGTGATCTGAATAAAATATTTAAGCTGCAGGAAAAGCATAGAAAAAACCATAAAAACAAACAGATAATGCTGCTGACCACCCTTCTTCCAAAGGTTTATCAGCTGTTTATGTAAGTAGTTAGGCAGGTACCAGAAATCATCTAATACTTCATGACTGTTAAAAACTGTATATGTGCAAATCAAACCTGAAAAAGGGAGATTTAACACGAAAATAAACAAACAGAAAAAGCTGAAGGACATTCAAAGACAGTCAACGCTGTGCAGGACTCACATCCGATGGATGTGTGCACCATACTGATGCAGTGCGCACAGTTTCTCACCAGAGGTCAGACCTGAGCTGTGTAGTAAATTTGTATCAGCGTGAAAATACGCTGCAGGGACCGGATGAAATCGGACTGACTAGATCTCATTTAGTGCATAAAAATCTAAATCAGACTTAAGATGAGTTTTACAACAAATCTATTGATCCGTCAAAGTCTGCTATGCAGCATTTACAGTGAAACTATTTGACCTAAACTTGTGATGCATACTTCAGTTTTCTGATAAACCGATTAAGTTATTTATGTGTGTAATATAATAGAAAAGTACTGAGGATCGTGTCTCCTCTTTCCTGTGATTCCCAACCAAAAGAAAGACAGAAATAACAGAAAACATAATATAATAACTAATATTATAATTTTTTAAAAATGCACTGTAAATGTATATTTATTAAATCAGATCCTATGGCTTGAATAAAATTTGGTTACACCATGAAGGTTGGAGTAGAGTGAGTGGAAATGTGTCGCCCCCTCCTGGAGGGTCTGAGTCTGGATCTGAAAGTGTAGGCTGATAATACAAATAAATAATAAATTAATTAAAAAATAAAATCTGCCGAGACTTTCATTTAGTTCTGGCTAACTGATATCAACAGTAAAATACTAAAAGACTACACTGCTGATATAGCACAATGTGTCATGTAATACAGGAACGGAGTCATCCAAAGGAATTAATGCAGTTGCCAATTTCATCAGTACAGGATATCATAAAATGTGTCATAAATACATTAATTAAACAATTTAGAATCATAGCCAATAGAAGAATAAAACAGCAATAAATCTTCAGACTACAGATGAGAGAAGCTCCTCCGGGATGTAAGAAGAGCGTCACCTCTCTTTCCACATTTTCTACATTTGATCCGCAGAAGTGTTTAAAGCATTTTTTTTTTTTACAGTGTGCCGATTGCCTGTTTCACAATGATTGGTGATAATAAAAGGAGCCACATGTTGCTGACAGATCTAAATATCTTCTTGATAAGGGAGTATTAAATGATAACTGCACGAGCAGTTACAGCACGGAAAATAGGGGAAAGTGCATGCACGTGCATCCTGTATACATTCATGTCATCTCTGTAAAGCTGCAGTGTTGTACATGGAAGTACAGCATTGTGAAGTTTGACCACCCCTCATTTGTTCATATTTTGCTAGAAAATTTTAAAAGATTTAGAGATTTATTGAAAAGAGTGCACATATACATGGAAATGCATATACAGAGAGCTTTGCAACGAGCTTGAAAGTAAATATTTAGTACCTTTATTCTTCGTCACCATCTGACATTTGTTAGGCCGCTTTCTTGTAATTTCTTCATGTAGTATTTAGGAACAGTTCTCCGGGCTTCTTATAGGACATCCAAAGCTCTTCTTTGGTTCTTGACTGCCTCGTGTTCTATTCTCTATCAGCTGCTTCAATAATGTTGAGGTTCGGGCTCTGGGGAGGCCAATCCATGACTGATAGCGTTCCATTGTGTGTTTTTGGTTTTTCTGCACTGGCAGTGTGTTTGGGATCACTGTCATGCCAATTTTGTAATGTCAATATTAACAGGAGGCCTCACTTTTTTCTAAATGATAAAGCAATGAAAGAAATCTAACAACATGGCTCTTTGGACCTAAAATGTGATGAATAAATGTTTAAAACTGCAGAAAAAGCTCTGGTAGCTCATCACCAGCCTACCCAGTGATTAAACAGAGCATTTTGTTCATTCAATGTATTATCTATTTATTTATGTATTTATTTATTTATGTTACTGTAGAATCATTGTAAAAACCTGAAATATATAAGTAATTGTTTATCTCATTCATAATTACTTTGGTGCCATGTGAATGATCACGTGGGAGATCTTTATTAGTAGCAAAAGCTGTAAAACTTGTGAAAATACAGTTAAAGGTCTAAAGTTTATGCCTTTCATCACATTTTCCAAAGCCGTCCTGTGGGCCAGATTGGAGACAATTACTCTTGTAACTTTCCCCCGACCTCCTCCGTACATGTTGATGTGTTGATCCAAAAATGTTACATTTTGATTCATCACACCGTCAGACCTGCTACCACTGATTTTTAGTCTGGCTCTTTTGTGATTTGCCATACCTCATCCTTTTCTCACTGTTTCCCTTTCTTAAAAATGGCTTCTTGAAAGCCACCCTCACACTTAGACCATTTCTGGTCTACTAAGGCTTCATTGTAGATTTAGATGGATCTACTGGAGGGTCAGCTGCATCTCTCAGGTCATATTTAGGGCCTTTGCAGGATTTTTATCTCCATTTTTCAGATACTGTTTATCTATTCCAGATAGTTTTTTAGGTCTGTCTTTTCCCTATTTTCGCACTCCACTTGTCCAGTTTCAGCTAATAGTTGTTTGGAAATCACCCTATTGGTACAAAACCACTATTTTATTCCTGTCAAACTGTGTTACCGTTGGTATTTTTCATAGGTTCAACTAAAGAAAGTACAACCAAATCATATAGTAACAAAATGTCTAAAGATAAAATGTAAGATGGGTTCTTGACTAATTTATTATGTCCAGCTATAACACTGGTTCATCCCTTGAGTTTTTTTGTTTGTTTTGTTTTAAGCGATAAGTCTTAAAAAACACTGATATAAGAATTGGATTGAAAAAGCAGCCACAGTCCACAGAAACCAGGTATGCTTTTACTCTACTGGACCTTTGAAACCTTTGAAAGACCTTCAAAATGCAAGAAAGATTCATCACACCATCACACAAATGCCAGAAAGACTGTTGCACAGAACTGTCCTTCCAAACTGAAGGTTGGACTTTCAGAGTTAAAGCAATACTTTGAGTGATTAGATAACAATATACTTTGCCTTTAGGATATTTTTACTATAATTGGAAGAAACAAAAGGGATAGTTACAGGTGCCGTCGGTGCAAAGCCTTACCTGTTATCTGTGCATTATAGCTTTATTGTTGTTCAGGCGAGGGGTGGAGCAAAGGTACGACCACAGCCACCACAGACTAACGTCTCACCGGCCCTCTGACCATTTTACACAACCAATGGTGAAGCACATTAGGATCAGCAACTCACAGTTTACAGTAGGGAAAGCACAATGTGTACAGCATACAGACCCATAGAGTAGTACAGCAATTTCAGACATACCACTAACCTATTAGGAGATGCTTTCTACAGTAAAACACAGCCATACCATATGTGAATATATTTAATATTTATGCACCATTCTATCAAATACGCTTTTGATGTATAGAACTTCAGACACATTTTCCTAAAATCTCCTTTGGAAATTTAAGCATCTCCACTAGAATGTCAACTGGAACTGCCTGCTGGCGCTGTTAGGAAAGAGCATGGCTCTGAATGAAGAGTTGAAGATTTTAATTCAGTTTGAAAGCACAGCTGAAAGAGTCCCAGGTCTGCGTTCACTGAGCTGTGTGAGCGTGAACGTGGCTGCACTGGTTTTAAATGGTTGGAGTTTTCTTGCATTAATGAAATGTTTGTTTGTTTTTTATGCTTTTTTTTTTAAATCATGTGCTCCCATGCCCCTGCAGTTTCTCAATCATCTTGGTCATGGTCGTCTACAGAGTTCGAACTAAGAAGACAAATGGAAGAAAAATATGTGCTCTTAATTTGCAAATTATTATTGTTTTTGTTCTTGCTAATATTAATTTTTTAAGGGTTTAGGTCAAGTTCAGTTTTTTCCATTTTGGGGGGGAACCTAAAAAATTAAGTAATTTTATTTTTTTGTTGAAAGCTAATTGCCAGCCTATTCATTAAAAGCTCTTTTTTTGGATCTTGGCTGCCTTTTGTTCTGTTCTCTGTTAAGATGATCTCACTGTTCAGGTTAAGGTTCAGGTCCGGGCTCTGGGGAGGCCAATCCATGACTGTTGGTGTCCCAGTGTGTGTTTTTCTATCTGGGTATGCTTTTACTCTACTGGACGTGTGTTTGGGATCACTGCAGACTATGGTGAAAATTGAAGCTGCTGACAGTCAGATGCCTTCCAGATGGTATTGCATGTCGTTTTAAAATCTGGGCTTCAGTGAACAGTAGATAGATCAAATGAAATTCCAGATGCATCTCTCAGGTCCTGTGGGCTTTGAGCTTTTCCTGTTTCTTAAGGACATGACTTTCAGAAGCTGTTCGTTTGCTGTAAATAGTTTTTGGAGGCTTGCCATTTCTTTTTTTGTCCTCTATTCTTTGAGTTTCCTTGTTTTGAGGACACATCGCACACCATGCTGAAAAATGCATATTAGCGTTTCAGCTAATAATTGTTTGGGAACAACCTTGTGCAGAAATATATTTTAGGTCGGTTAAACTGTGTTCTTTGGCATTTTTTGCACATTTAACTGAGGAAATGAGAATAAATGATGTGGTTTATGACAAGCTGCTAATAATAAAGTGCAATGAAGAGAAATGATCCTGCAGTGAACAGTTATTATCATTAATGATTAATCTGGTGGTTGGTTTCTGTTTTTCTCAACGAATCCAAATGAAAAACGATTTCCTAAAGACGACAATTTTATCGTGTTGAACAAAGTACGAAAATAAAATATCCAAGGACTCAGACAGCGGTATTCACTTAATGAGACAGCTATCTAATGCATTGGATCACAGCACTGACCGGACTCCGCTGTGGTTTCAACCTTCACCTGGATCTCACGTGGACCGCAGGAAAAAAACACACCGAGCAGGAAGAAGTCTCGTTTTCCGGGCTTGGGTCAGCTGACCGGGAGTCAGCCAGTGAGAAGTCGCTGGCTGTTGTAAATAAACTGCTTCTTTCCAGAGCTGCTGAACAGCAGCGGCCGGTGCGGGACTGTGAGCAGCGGGCAGACATGTCGGTGGAAACAGCAGCCAGCGGTAAGTCACCGCAGACTTGAAGCGCTAACGTCAGGTCAGGTTTGATCAGCGTGAAAAAGCCATTACTAAAACTGGGCACAGCCGTCTTTTTCCTCACCTGTAGGCCCAGTGATGCATAAGCAAAGGCACCTGGTGCGTTCAGGTACACGCAGTTCAGCTCGCAATATATAGACTCTGTATTACACTCCTGTAAGGTGCACAGCTGAGCATCATCTCAGTTGTATTAACGATTTTTTAAAATATTTATTTTTAGGATTACATGCCTGTTAGTTTTAGTTGAATAATGGCGTTATAATAATAATATAGGTCACCATAATTTGCTCGTGATTTAAACTGATTTAAAAAAAAAAAAAGTCTGTGAATGATTGCTGTGAAAGTAATTATTAGTTGGATGGATGTTTGTGCTTTTACACCGTTACTGCAAAAAGAGATGGGCCGAGTGGATGTAGGGCAGCCTGATCCCCAAGAATTTCACTAAAAACGTCCACACTCTAATAATAGGATTATATTTAATCCTCCTGTGGTACAAATTTGCACATGCACTCGGATGATTACTCTACAATGGAAAGATACAAAGAAGTTTGAGACAAAAATGTAAATGTTTTTGAGAAATGACAACATTTCAAAGAGAAACTTAATCTCTCAAATGTAATCACAAGAATGTAATAAAAAAAAATCTCCTGTTATCAAAGAGTCTTATTTTGAAGGACAGCTGGAGTTAGACCACTTTACTTTTCCAATAAACCTTTTCGCTCTGTAATTAGTTATTTTGAGATGGTACACTTCCTTAGGAGTTTTTGCTTCCAGAATCATAGTTTGATTTTTTCTTCATTTTAAAATGTGCTTCACTGGCAATTACTGATAGATCATAGTTCCTTACAATAAGCGCCTTGAGGTATCTGTTGTTGTGATTTGGCACTATGTAAATAAAACTGAATTGAAATTGAATTAAATATTTGCTGTAGCATCTACATGTTTTAACTCTTGTATGTAATTTTGTGTTTGCAGGTGCGAGGGAAGCTGAGGAGAGCAGAGGAAGCAGCGGCCGACAGGTAAGAACAGGTCGTCCTTGCAGCCAAACACCTTGCTGTTATCACCATTCAACTGAAAAGATTCACAAACGGACAAGGCGGCAACACAATACAGCGAGTAATCGACAACACAGGCACAACCCTCGATCCGTTATACATTACATGACTTTTTTTCCCCTCTTAGCTGTCCGATGTGAATTGCTGGATTACTGCTCATCTGTTTTTGGGGAGGTCGTTGTTATGTGTATGTTATGTAATGTAATTTTGCCAAACAACTGCAGATACTTTGATGCGTGCAAAGCTTCAAATGAAACCTGTCTCATGTTGCCCTACATATCTCTATATTTCCCCCCGGGGGGGCTGAAGCACACACAGAAGCTGATGTTTGGCAAATCCTTTTAAAAAAAATCAAATCTGGATTTCTCACCTTCCCTGTGGGCTAAATACAAGGCAAATTTTAGCTTATTCTATTAGTTTTCTGCATACACTACTTGTTCGTGCATATTTTTCTAAATCACATCTTTAAAGGTTTAATTTTTATTTTTATAGCTGCAGCCTGATGTGTCTAATTAGGAATCTTTCCATCTGACTGCTGTTTTTAAACCGTGACTCCACCGAGACTTGCCCTCTTTGCTGTATGTTGTTGACAACAGGCTTGACCTGATAGGCACGTTCCTTTTATTTATTTATTTATATATTTTTTTTTTGAATCTATAGAGGCAGCAAACAGACAAAAGCAAATACTGGATTGTGTGTATGATCGTGAGAAAAGGAGTGTTTTGATCAGTGAAGCGGTAGAGACGGGTTTTGTTGTCACGTGGAGCAGAAAAGCAAAATGAGTGTAGCTCACAGGGAAACGATAGCTTAGCTTAGTTACTCAGTTTTCAGAAAAAATATATGGGTAATAAATGTAGTAAGCAAAAAATGTCACAATAAGTGCACAAGGAAGCATGGGTGTATTTGCATCTTCATGATCATGATTGCATCTCTTAAAAACGACCAGCTGAGGCGTGAGACCAGCACGGCGTTTGTGTGACATTGTTCTCTCTGTTGTCGTGGCTTGGATGAGGGCAGCTGAGGTGAAAAGCTGGCATTTTAGAGAGTCTAGTGAATGTGACATCAATCCTTGGGCTTACTTCCTGCTGAGTGAACTGATCCGCATTTCTCAGTGCAGATGCATTTTGTCAGAGTCATCGTGCACATCTTCTGTGTAAACAGCTACATTTAGACCTTTCTAAACAGGTGTAAAATACTGTTATCCTTTAACTGAGATGCTCTTTATGATGATTGAAAATGCACTATAAATGTACTGTAATTGCCTAAGTAAAATACACAGAGAGAGTTTTCAGAGTCTGACTGTTTCCCCTCCTGCTGCTTTGCATTCTGGGTTATTAACTTCAGGCAGTTCCTGAAAACCCCACACTCAACAGGAACCACTCAGATCCACAGTGTTCTCGTCCTCCTGGCGAGATAGAGGTTTCAGTAACAGTCTCGCTGTTGTTTTTGAGACATTTCTGTACCAGGAGAGGTTTCTGTGGGGAAATGCTAATATAGCGAAACATCATGAGATTGCATTCTCATCGCCGAAGCAAGAGAGGGCTTCACACAACGCTGTTTCTTTTTCTGTCTCCCAGGAGGGCCCCGGAGGACTGTGGGACTCTGTGAAGAAAGCCGGGTTCGTCATTGGATCTGGGATCTTATTCTTGGCTGCGTTCGGGAACTCACTGACATGGTATGTCACATTTGCAAAACAACAGTTTGCCCTGACATAAACTGGAGGAGTGGCATTGCCAGGTTGTTACGTTATGCATAGTAGAAAGAGGCAGGCGCTACATGACAAGGAGTTGGACCCAACAGATGAGAATTGGATGGGAGGAGTGAGAGCAGGATGGTGCAGAGCCAGGACTGGATAGACGAGGACAGGACAGTACATGTTAGGATGGTAAAGGGTGTAACGAGAACACAGCATTACATGAAATTACAAATTTCATCACCTGAAATTATGTAATGTGTACAAGTATTCAGATTGGAGTCTTTGCTGGACTAGTTGTAGCTGCAGTTGTTTGACACACTGTCCATCCCTGGGTGTTTTTATTGGTGGTTAGATTTTTGTTTGGAGGGTTCCATATGGGCTGCTGGAAAGGAGAGAGCATGCAAGCACAAGATGTGTAGACAAGTG